CAGGATGCGGTTTGCCCTCTTGGCTGCCAGGGCACACTGCTGACTCATACTGAGCCTGCTGTTGACCAGCACCCCCAGGTCCCTTTCTTCAGGGCTGCCCTCCAGCCACTCCTCTCCCCATTTATACTTGTGCCTGGCATTACTCCATCCTAGGCGCAAAATCCGGCACTTGGACTTGTTAAATTTCATGTCATTAATAATTGCCCAGTGCTCCAATCTATCTAGATCCCTCTGCAAGGCCTCTGGTCCTTCAAGAGAGTCAACAGCACCTCCCAGTTTAGTATCATCAGCAAACTTGCTAATGGTGCATTCAGCTCCTGCATCCAGTTCATTGATAAAAACATTGACCAGAACTGGCCCTAGGATTGAGCCCTGAGGAACACCGCCGGTGACTGGTCGCCAGCCAGATGTAGCCCCATTCACTACAACCCTTTGAGCTCTGCCCTTCAGACAGTTCTTCACCCAGCGCACCATGAACCCGCTCATCCCACAGTTGGACAACTTGTCCAGAAGGATGCGGTGAAGGACAGTATCAAAAACCTTAGTAAAATCCAAAAAACTTACATCTACTGCCTTCCCTTCATCCACTAGGCGGGTGACCTTATCGTAGAAGGATGTCAAATTATGTGAACCCGTGTTGACTGTGCCTGATGATTGCATTGTTCTTTAAACACCTTTCAGTAGCACCCAGTATGATCTTCTCCATAATTTGTCCAGCAACTGGGGTTGGACTAACACCTCTGTAGTTCCCTGGCTCTTCCCTCATGGCCTTCTTGTAAACTGGAATAATGTTGGCTAGCTTCCAGTCAGCAGGGACCTCCCCAGACTCCCAAGACCTTTGGTAGATGATCGAGAAGGGTCCTGCCGTAACATCTGCTAGCTCCTTCAGTACTCTGGGATGAATCCCATCAGGCCCCATGGACTTGTGAACATTCAGCTGATACAGCTGGTCCCTTACGATTTCGGTGTCCACAAATGGAAAGTCACTGTTCCTGCACTCGTGGTCCTCTGACTCAGGGGACCGGGCAGCCGAAGGACCATCGGTATTATTAAAGATTGAGGCAAAAAGAACTATAGACTAGTTATGGATTTATTTTATGCTTTTAGATGATGCCTTTGTGTGTCCATTGGTGCTTTTGTCAGGTCTTGCCTGAAGTCCCTACAACTCCTGTTTAGAGAAGACTAATTACCTGGAAACTACCAACTCCAGGAATCTGGCATTAGGCATTATTTCATTTTTGTCTTCGAGGCCGTAACATGATGTCTACACCTTGACAGTGGCCCCGTACCATCCCTTTTCTGGGACAGCCATGTTCATGGTCTACATAGAGTAGACAAGGGCCTATACCATCTGCAGGTATTTGCGCCTTTTGAACTGATGTAATAATTCAGAACTGTGATGCGAGCAGTGAGCTGAATCTTCTAGAGTGTTCAGGACCGTGGAGGACTCGCATAGTCAAGCTGCTTTGTCGCAAATGCAGTGGATTATCCTGCATATGTGTTTCTTCCCACTTGTTTGCTGAGGTTTGCTTTGCCACAGCTCAGCTTTGGCCTCTTCCTGGCTGTGCCGTCTTTCTGAAGGACTCTGTGCTGGTCTTTGCAGTGTAGGTCAAGGTCAGTACCTGGAGTGAGTGGATTTCTGCCTTGCCCTCCTGTTTTGTTTGACTGCAGTGGAACAGCCCTTCTAGTAAGACTTCTCTTCAATTACATTACTTAATTAGTTTTAAGGCTTGCAGGGGCTTCTGTGCTGTCAGACTTGTAAAAAACATACGGGGGCAGGGAATTCTAGATGGTTTCAGAACCCTGGAGGAAAAAGCAGCTGTGTGTCAAGAGGTGATTTTTTTTTTTTAAGATGGATTTGTAACAAAGATTCCTGTAGGCTCAGTCATTCGACACCGAGTTGTCTGTTAAGGCCTTTGTTTGGTCTTTTGTGCAGTAAAATGCAAGTTGTCTGGCAGGCTTGATTCCTAGGCCTTATAACAACTTTACTACTTCTATTAAAGAAAATATTTTCCCTACTAATCTGTAATGCTTTGTCTTCTAAAATTAGTTATTTCACTTGTTTGGGGTCCCCGCACCGCCTCCCCTCCAGCTCCTCATTGTGTGTTGGATGCAGGATAACTTTACCAGGAGCAAGCTTTAAGATGTGAACTTCAGTACCGTGTCCGATACTCATAACCGCCTTTATACTTGCTTTTCACCTCTTCCCACTTAGCAGTTCGCTGCCTGGTGGGTAGGAGCATGCACACTTACAGTTACCACAGAGTAGCTACTGTACACTCGTATGCTCTTGCAGATCCGCGAGTATTTCTAAGCTGAGATTTCTCTGCTCCGCTTGCTTTGGATTCCTCTCAAGCTGTTCAGCTCCCACCTGTTGGAATCTGGAGATGGGCTGGGGAAGAGAACTGCTTGTCTGGAATTTTGTGTTCCCTGAAGATGGTTGCTCATGACACAATTCCCAGTGGTTCCTGCCCACACCCAAACATTGCCTCGAGCGTCAGTCCATTGTTTTTCAGTTAAACTTAATTGGGATTCCGTAGTATTTTTCTAGTTTGCTAACAAACTAGCTTATTCTGGTGTTTAGTTTGGGAAGTGGGTGAGAACGACTGAGGCTTCAGGCCCAGCTGTAGGTGTCTGAGGCTCAAATACCAAACTCTGGGACGTGCCCTCTAGCTTGGGACAGAAGCTGGTGACTCGGGAATGGGAATCTTGGAGTGGGTGTATTTAAGCGAACGAGCACTACAGATAGGTCATCTTCTCTCTTCTTTTCCTGCAGGTTTGGACGAACGTCGGTCTCTGACACTGAGAAATCTGGACTTTTGACAGTGTACGACCTAAAGGAATATAAGGATTTGATAGTTGTAGCTTCCTTGCAATTAATTTTATGGTATTTGTACCTCTTGCTTTCTCTGTGGATTGAGATCAAGAAACACTATGAGCACAGTAAGTATTTTACTGCTCAGTGCAAACCTGATTCTTAAAACGTGTGTTTTATGGTACTTCTAGAAATGATTTTAAGAGTTTGTAGTAAACACATTGGAACATAAGCATATTCAAACGTCATGTAACTTCCTGTTCTGTGAGACTTAAGATTTTCAATCTCTCTAGGTGCTAGTATAGTTCAGAAATGCTTACAAGGCGAGCAAAAACCTTAGGTCAGACCGATTCCAGTGGTTGGCTGGAAGCGAACACCTGACGTAATTGTGAACTAGTCTTCTCCCTTGCAAACCGTTACGATACGTTTTTCCTTTGTGACCCAAAGAGTAGGAGATCTGGGGTGATGTCTCTTCCTTGCTGCGATGCATTCAGGTAGGAATGACCCATACCCCCATTCTTTGCGTATTACAGCCTTTCAGGGGAGTGTTTTGTGTCTCCTCGCGTGCTTTCATTGGTGCCGCCAAGATGAGGGCCACGTTAATGTTACTGCTAAAGAAAATGCCAAGGCTTTGTCCTCTCATAGGCTCAACGAAAGCGCCGTGGAGGAGCAGTTAATTCCAGGCGAGTTCGGAAACGAAACAGGCTGATGGCTTCTACCGCAGAAATGGCTTCAGAAGCAGAGCCAATAGAACTTGAAGAAAGTGGTAAGGTTTCTTTTTAACCTGGTAAGAACGTAAACTGCTTCTGGAGGGTTGGGGTCCCACTTACCGTGCATTTTTGCCAGTTTCTAGGGCCTTTACTGGGGAGGAAGGGAAACCTGATTTTAGAAAGCGTCTAGTATGGCATCGATAAACAAGGAGCCTGCTGACAGCTGTTCTAGTTTGTTACTGAGGTGCGAGGCCTTCACCACTAGTGATAGATGAGCTGTGTAAGAAAGGTACTCCAGTGCTGCTCAGACATCTGAATGTCCAGTCTGATGAGCTGGGAGGTACTGCAGCTGCGACTACAGATACGGCAAACTAAGTCTGGGAGCTCCTAAGTTTTAAGAAGATAATTAAAAGTTTGTCGCTAGTCGTGCCGCGTCCCTCAAGGGAACATTTACAGCATGGCGCTGTAAAAGTATTATTTCCTCTATGATTCGCGTTTTATTCTGGGTGATAAACATTCTCCTGTGTTAGTTGAATCATCTGTTGCTGTGTACCTCCCACAAGCTGTTGTCATACAACAAAGCTGTATGAGGAGCTCAGCTGCTGTTCCTCTTGCGTGGCAACTTGCAGAAGACAGGGGTGCTGCTGCTCTACCTGGACTGTTGAGGGCAAAGCTTGAGTGAACTGTTGCACACGTTCCTGAAGAGAGAAGGGATAGGGCAAGGTTGACTCGTACCTCAGCCTGCTACGTAGTGGCAGGCAGGCAATTTTGTTTGTCTGCGACCTCTGATCTTGATTCTAACGTTGTGTTTTGAAGCTGGTGAAGAAGTAGTAGATCTCACATGTGAATCTTCTGATCCTGTAGTCGTTGATCTAACTCACAATGATTCTGTTGTGGTAAGTAGTGAGTGGCACGCTTATCTAAATCTTGTGGTCAAATTAGTTTTGTATTGTGCTCCCTGATAGAATCTGGCTTTAAGGGTAAGTTTTAAGTTCCAAGTTGACTTGTCAGTGCATGAAAGCCATGCGTTACAGGTCAACACCGAAGCTTCTCTGGAGGTGCTGCTTAGCAAAACCCTTCCTGGGCACAGCAGTACAGCCTTGTTTTCTCAGACTGTTGTAAATCTGCATGGGTACTTTTCTTGAAAAATGGCTGATTAAATGTCTATACAAGAATTTAACCAGTTCAACCAGGCGGGTGGTGATCATATGCCTTTTCATTGTGTAGGCATGATGATAAATGCATTTCAAGTATGATACTCTCTAAAGATGTAGACCCCTCATTCATAGATGTTAGTCTGGTATACCCGTCATGGCGCAGTCATGAATGTTTATGAAGAATGCTACTGATAACTACTAAGCTTGAGGAATCTGGAAGACTGAATGCTAAGGCACTGAAAAATTCTATTGAAATGTGTATTTGACCTATATTTGAAGATCTGTGCAGTAAAAGTAAATCGATGTCATGAACGTGGCAGTAAAGTTAGGCTTAATCCTTACAAGGTTTGGATTCGGGTCATAGTTTACCAAGTCCTTAGATATTCAAAAACTCATCTTCTGGGCTTGCCTTCTGGGATCTAAATAAGTAGCCTGACTTAAAGTGTTAATACACAGCTCTGATTTACCACTTTAGACAGAGTTCACATTCAACCCCAAATGGACCTAAGAATGCATCAACATCTATGAGTATCGCCTGCAGATAGTTAGAGGGTAATCTAAAGTAGCTTGTTGCTCCAGAACTTGGGGAGAATATATACCAATCATGGGTAATGTAACATAAGGAGATGCAATTTAAAGTTGAAGCTATGGTAGACATAGCAAAGGTATAGGCCAATAATTTAAATAAGAAGTGAAGGAGATAACAGTAAGCCTTTGACTTCACAAATATGAAGTGTTTAGCTGCAATGTTGGTTTAAGGTTCTCTTGTCAGAGAGATGCCAAGCGCAACTGTAGCTGACCGTGGGACAAACTAGAGCAGTTATTACTCCAAGAAGTCCTAAAAAAAAAATCCATTTTTTATTTTCACTGTTATTTTTAAAGCTAGAATAGTATTCGATCCAGTCCACACTGTAGTTTATAACATCAGTTTTGGGATGCCGCTGCTGCTCTGCGGAACCAGAAACAAGCAGCAGGAAGCTCTAGTTCTGCCAAAGAGAATAGCGGGTTTGGGTTTGGGGGATTTTTTTTCTTCAGCAGCTGTTAATCTAATATGAAGTGTTCATGGCTACCACACCTGAATTTGCCTGTTTGGGGGGAGAAAGAGGGAAAGAATCTCCTCCAGCCAAAATCAAATTAGGGTACTGAAACTGGGGAGCAGGGAGGAGGGTGTCCAGGTGGTTCCTAAGCTGCCTCCATTCGTATCCCTTTGCAGCAGCGTGAGCACAACCAGAAGCAACCGCTTACTTATCTTCAGAGCAGCAGCTAACTTACTACTCCTTTTAATGTTCTTAATCAAAGTAACAGCGTGATACCCTACCATTCTGAGCTTGTTTTGTTGTGAATCGCTTAGCTTACCTGGTGTTTGCATGTACCGCTGGGGGTGCACACCAAAGTCTAATTGTATTTTTCTTTTCTCTTCCTTCCCATATATACTGATGCAAGATTGTTGAAGGTGAGTTGACATTTTACAATTCATAATGGAATTGTCCTAAACTTTTTTTTTCTTTTCCAATGAATTTGAGCAGCATGGACTGAAGCTGCATTTACCAAAAGGCAAAGGGCATCTGGCCAGTGTCTTAGAGAATGGATCCGGTCTGTGCTTGATAGTCGCTATCAGAGCTTGTAGCAAGTATCTCAATTGAAATACATCAAAGCTGCTCAAAAAATGTTTTCTTATTTTCCAAATACAGAAGTTCTGTAAGCCCAAAGTTGATAATAATTTTAATTAGCATTTTTAGCACTGGAATATCTGCTTTGAATAAGAAAATGTTGAAAGGTTTTTTTAGCCTGTATTCCAGTGAAGGAACTAAGGCAGAAAGTTACAGACTATTTATAACCATGCATTTCAAGGCTAGTTCCAGGACTATATATTTTATAATATATCTAACTTACCAAAATTAAATTACAGAGAATCAACGACAAAGAAGAAATCTCAGAGTAAGAGGCCAGCTACAGTTGGACATCTGTATACTGATTAGCGATGATGAAGATGAAACAAGAGATAATGATGTGTAAGTGACAGACAAAGTGTCTTTCTAAAGTCTGATTTCTGATATACAGCAGAAACTGATTTTTTCCAAGCTTTTGGGTTCTGTTTGATTACTGTGCAAGAACTTCAGACCTAAAATATAATTGCATTTCTAGAAGACAACTCATTCAAAAAAAGAAACCCCAAAAAACCCAACACAAACTTCTATTCTGTTGTTCATGAAATTATTATCTAATGTATCTTACAGTATGGCTTGAGAGACACTGAAATGTTTGCAAAACATAAAAGACACAGCCAAACAGTCTGAAAATATACTTCGCATAATCACGCATTTTATAAGGAAGGAGTTCTTGGTATGAATGTGTGACTGGGCTGGGACGTTGCTAAATTAGAATAGGGGACGTTTTGTTTTCTGACAGCCGCTTTCCCTTCTAGAAAGGACAGCTAGGTGGTTTTGTTACAAAACTCTTATTTATGACCCGATGCCTGTTGAAGATTAATACTGCCGTACGTATACTGCACAGTGCTATAGACGGCTGTTACCTGCCGTGATAGAGCAGGGTGACTAGTTGCATCTTCCCCCTAATGAAAACCAAGACGCTGTTTCCTTCAGGTAAGGGAGACCCTAACTGCTTAGTAAATGCGACAAACTGAAAGAGTTAAAGGTACGCAGGGGTCTTCAGGTGAAACGCGTCCTGGCTCGTCTGTGCAGCCGGAGGATTACATGACGTTTTGTGTCTCGGCAACCCTCAATGCACGGTGAAATTAACGGATGCATGTTCTTTCTGGTTTTGTTCTCTCTCCCACAAGGCCGTCTGGTACCGTTAGCTGTCCGATTTGCATGGATGGCTACTCAGAGGTAAGGATCCACACGTTGTCATCGTGTCTGTCCTGTCGGAGGGAGAACGGGGCAGGGGGTGAGCTGCGCGAGTCGGTTGGGTCATGTGGGACGCCACAGACAGCTGGCCTGAAGTACAGACCTTGGTCTGAAGGTCAAGCTAGCTTGTAACTCAGTCATTTCTTGGTGGTGTACGTAGAGGGGGAAGCGCTTTCCAAGGCGGCGCTGAAAGCTCTTTGGGTTCCTTCTTATTGTAGTAGTGACGTACTGGTTACAGATACTCCCAAGTCCTGTTGGCCTGGTGCCAACAGACCAGCAGAGTTGAATTCTTTACTCCAAATACCTGTTGGGGTTTCTTTGCTTCCAGATTGTGCAAAGCGGACGACTGATTGTGTCAACCAAATGCGGCCACGTCTTCTGCAGCCAGTGCCTCCGTGATTCCCTTAGGAATGCCAACTCTTGCCCAACCTGCAGGAAGAAACTCACTCACAGACAATACCATCCCATTTATATATGAGTACTTCTATTTCTCAGGACAGACTCAACTGGATTTTGGGGGAAAATGTCATGTTTTCAGTGCTCTGAAGATGTAAAGAGCAGCAGGTTGCGCACACATCCAAATAAAACTGTTTTTTTTGGAGAATGACTTGTACATATATAGACAGCTTTTTTTATGGTCCAAGCTGCTTCTTGTTATGTCCCTGGTTATAACGTTAAACTGATGACTGTCTCTAATCTAGACCAGCAGCCTATATCAGAAAGGAAGCAGCTAATCCATTTCCTTCTACTTTTTTAATGCTTAAACAAGAGGGGTCTGAATATTTTGTTATTTCTTACTCTTTAAATTATTCCCACCGTCGCATCCAGATACGGAATAGTTACCTTGCAACATAGAGACGAACAAGTTGCCATTTCATTGCACTTTTGTTTTTATCCTGTAAGAAGCTCGTGACTATATTGCTTTCTGCTACACCATCTTTGCCCAAGTAGAGTAAGTTCTGGAACCATGGGGCGTTTTCTCTTGAATCAATATTAAATTGACAACCAGGGTCATGCAATAAAATAACCTGCTGTTAACCAGCAATCAGGTTTTTTAAGCAGAAAGCTGTGCAGACACATAGGCTGTTGTGATGGGTGAGTCCTTGCTGCTTCAGTTAAGGCCTTGGCCTGCTTCTGCTGAAATACCCGATCCATCAGAACTACCCTCTGATCTGCAGTCAGATTTGACGCTTCGGCGGGATGAAGCATCCAGCAATTGCAGAAACCTTTTCTCACTTGGGGTCTGATTCTAGACCACATTTTTGGAGAGGAGAAGGGGTAAATAAGAAATATGAGCCAGCTGTCAAAGTTTGTGAAGCTGAAGTCCAGGACCAGGGAACAGCAGTCCTGAGCTAGGAAGCCAGGTAAGAAGCATGGTCCAGGGCTTAGGTGGAATATGTAATCTGGGGGATGCTTGCAGTGCCGCAATGTCTGGAGTGAAGGGTGAGATGGGTGGGGAGGATGGTCCTGGGGGCTGGAGCGGAGACCAGTGCTATGGAGTAGGGACCAGTGCTGGAGCATCTTGAGCCAGAAACTGGAACTACAGAGCAAACTGCAGAGATGTGGCTGCAGCCGAGCGGTGCGTGAGCAGCCGGGTGGCAAAGGGGAATCGTAAAGGGGAATCGCCAAGGGTAAGTGTTGGTGCACGTCAGATGGATCAGCTTAGCAGGGCCATAGCTGCTGTAAGGAGCCATTGTGTTCTGGTTGCAGAGCTTAAACCTCAATCTGCCTGGGTTAGGTCTCATGGGGTGGTGACACAGCTCTGGGGCAATGCTTACAGGTGATGCAATGCTGCTTACGAAGCTTTTGTTAGCTGTAGAAACGTATGTCCCTGCATCATGTCTGATATACACTTGGTGGCAGCGAGTGCTAATTTCATATGTTCTGTTTAAATCTGTTTTATTCTCTAGGTCAAGCGCATGCGATTGAGCCTTTGGGCTTGTGAAAATGTTTTAATATTTTATGCCTTTTTACCTCTCTTTTGCCTGATGATGTGAAACCATGCTTGGTCATTTGTGTGGTGCTCTGTTTCATCTGAAGACCAAATTCATAATAGTTTCTACAGCTGACTTAGGGCCTGCTAACGTGAGATGTTGTAGGACTGCTTCATATTCTTTCTGACATCCTAAGTCCTCCCACAATTTCTCTTTGAGGGTTCTGGAAAGGTAAAAGGAACAGGAATATCTGGTCTGCGACTTCCCAGAGGAGAAGATTGCCATCTGTACCAAGGAGAGTCTCCGGTGCTGTGTCCAGATGCAGTCCAAGAGTTCTTTCTCCTGACATGTCACTTCAGAGGGGGGTCCCACCCTTGCCAGTGGTGGAGGATGAATACAGATGTGATCTGATGTATTCTTCTGGTTTTGTTAGGAATGAAATAGAGGTCTCCAAGACCATTTCAAAAAGATATTGAATAGTTGCAACATCTTTCATTCAGTAAAGCCCTTGATTACACCAGCAACGTAAACCTGAAAGCCCTACTTCCCACTACAACTCTGCTACCCGCATGTTGTAGATTCAGACTTGATGTATTTTTATTTTTCACATTAGATGTTACCTTAAGGTTGTAGGCAAGGCAGTTAAAAGCAGATATATTATGCATGAAAATGTGAATGGGGAACCGCTTATTTCTAAACCTGCTTCCTTTCCCAAATCGCATGAACAAGACATTAGCATTAAAAAACAGAAAAGTCACAGGTTATGATATTGATTTAATATAGAGGTAACAGAGGCCGGGGGATTAAGGGTCTCAGAGGTCTGTCTATGCTTTACCTCTCTTTTGCCTGATGATGTGAAACCATGCTTGGTCATTTGTGTGGTGCTCTGTTTCATCTGAAGACCAAATCATAATAGTTTCTACAGCTGACTTAGGGCCTGCTAACGTGAGATGTTGTAGGACTGCTTCATATTCTTTCTGACATCCTAAGTCCTCCCACAATTTCTCTTTGAGGGTTCTGGAAAGGTAAAAGGAACAGGAATATCTGGTCTGCGACTTCCCAGAGGAGAAGATTGCCATCTGTACCAAGGAGAGTCTCCGGTGCTGTGTCCAGATGCAGTCCAAGAGTTCTTTCTCCTGACATGTCACTTCAGAGGGGGGTCCCACCCTTGCCAGTGGTGGAGGATGAATACAGATGTGATCTGATGTATTCTTCTGGTTTTGTTAGGAATGAGATGGAGGTCTCTTAAGACCATTTCAAAAAGATATTGAATAGTTGCAACATCTTTCATTCAGTAAAGCCCTTGATTACACCAGCAACGTAAACCTGAAAGCCCTACTTCCCACTACAACTCTGCTACCCGCATATTGTAGATTCAGACTTGATGTATTTTTATTTTTCACATTAGATGTTACCTTAAGGTTGTAGGCAAGGCAGTTAAAAGCAGATATATTATGCATGAAAATGTGAATGGGGAACCGCTTATTTCTAAACCTGCTTCCTTTCCCAAATCGCATGAACAAGACATTAGCATTAAAAAACAGAAAAGTCACAGGTTATGATATTGATTTAATATAGAGGTAACAGAGGCCGGGGGATTAAGGGTCTCAGAGGTCTGTCTATGCAAGCAATTGCAGACGTCCATTTTAAACATATTTCAGTTATTTATATGGAAAATTGTTTCCCAGGGAGTGGACAAAATGCATTAACATCTAGTGAGGGATTCTCCTTGCTTCCTGGGGAAGGTGAAGGGCCTCTGCTTCCTCTAGCAGTAGTTTGTCCCTCATTTCCTCTAGCAAGTGTTCATCCCTTTGATCCCTGCTCCAATACCCTCTGCCCTTCGCAATCCCTGGTGGCACGCGTGACGGCAGAGCGGAAGCAACCCCTGGCTCAGCGCCCTCCGCTCCTGCAGAGCATCTGAAAGTGCCAGGTTAAATAGTCTCTCTGCCACAGAGATCTCAACTGAGGCAAGGTCCTTGCTGTGCTCTATGAGCTCACACTACTCCTGATGGCAGAGACATATAGCATAGGCACCTCGTGGCTCTGTGGGACGGGGTAGATGGAGCAGCATTATTTTTTATGCAAACTCCTATGTAGCTCTCTTTGCCTATCTTGATTTGCAGCATCATGACAAGTGGGCACTTTATAATTAGCGTGATTAAAAGTGCACACATTGCAGTGGAAGGCAGCATGTAAATTAGGCATTTAAACTCTGCTGCAAGGAGGTGGTGTGCTACGGCTTCTTTCCTTCGCCATAAATTCCTCCATAAATCTCATTCCAATTCTTGGTCCGTGGAGGAAGGGTATGAAGCTGTGGCTATTTCAGTGACCAATGTTCCAACACCATTTCCCCAAATCATTTATTAATAGCCACAAAGATCATAGCTTATTTCTAACTAATTCAGCAATCAAAATTTTAGACATGGATCATGCATATATTTGTGCTTTCCTCCTCGCTGGAGTGCAGACAAATGAATTTTAAAAATAGCCTGGGGTGAATGTTTAAGTCATTCTTTCAACAAGGCTTTTTAAAAGCTTCTTTTCTAACCTGCCAAATTATAGGATGGTTATAATTTGTTTAAGTCTTTCAACATTTAAGAAAATGCCTGCTACATATTGAAGCATTAGCACCCCTTAGCTGAGCAAATTGAGCGTGGGGCTGCGGGAGCAGCCAGGACTCCACTGGGGAAGAGAGCTGTCTGCTCAACACAAGGCCTCATGAATTACAAAGAGCTAATTAGAAGAAATGCTTGCAAAAGACTGATTTTCTGACACTTCTGGCTAAAACATATTTGAAGTGCTTTTGTCATACCGAGGGCTCTCTGTCAGTAGAGGTAGTTTATTAGGTTTGCCATCCAATGTTCCTTTTATTTCTGCCTTCTCCTACCTCTTGCATTTGAAGGTAGAGAGCATTGCATGGAAAGCAGCACTGCTTGGCTGTGTGACTGTCACCATCACTCAGAAAGAAAGGGGACTTCAGGCTGGAGGTGCTTGGACCAATTTTTATTATTAGTTTTTATTTGACCAGCAAAAATGAGCCAGTTCCATAAACTTCTACAGCAGTCTGCAGGAGCTGCAAATCGTCCCCCAGAGGGACCATGGTCCCCGCAGAGGGGAGCGATTCGAGCGGTGCTGCAGGCTGGCGACTCAAGCAATGCTGCCTGGTTCCGAACAGCAATACCGTGAAGTCAGGCAGAGCCTTCATTTCGGAGCCTCCTCCCCTGCGAAAGCGCGGGGCTGCTGCTTGCCATGTGTTCGGGGATGCCGAGGGAAAAGGCTGGCGCCCTGTTTGCCGGCTCTGCTGCAAACCCACCGCTCCCTCTGGCAGCAGTGGGGTTTCACAAGGCCAGAGCAGGGCAATATCTATTCATCTGAAGAGATAAATGAAATAATTGTGTCAGGTGTGCAGCAGCTCCTTGGAAACGAAAGGGAAGTAGGATGAGTTTCATATTAAAAAAAATGGAAAGTAAAGCTGTGTATACTTTTATGTATATTATACTCATGTTTAGATTGGACATGAGGAAAAATTCTTTACTGAAAGAGTGGTTAAACATTGAACCAGGCTGCCCAGGGAAGTGGTTGAGTCACCATCCCTGGAGGTATTTAAAAGACGTGTAGATGCGGTGCTTAGGGACATGGTTTAGTGGGCATGGTGGTGTTGGGTTGA